GCACAATAAAAGAGAATAGGTGAACTTTTGATACCAATTCCGGGAAGCTTGTCGTAAGCCATACAGAGATTTTTGGAGGCGACAAACACGATGCTCCCCCTGTTTGGCAAAACCATGAGGAATCTTTATATAGACCTCCTCATCAAGGTCACCATGAAGGAAGGCATGAGTGACATCTAACTGATGAAGTTCCCAACGGCGAACAGATGCAACAACAAAAAGGCATCCAGATGCAACAACAGTGACAAGTTTAGCAACCGGAGCAAAAGTTTCATGAAAATCAATACCTTCAACATGAGTATATCCTTTGGCAACTAAGCGGGCTTTATAGCGCTCAATGCTACCCTTAGGATGAAATTTTATTTTGTATACCCATTTGGAATCAATTGGGCGCTTCCCAAGAGATAAAGGAACAAGAGTCCGGAGCAAAAGTTTCATGAAAATCAATACCTTCAACATGAGTATATCCTTTGGCACTAAGCGGGCTTTATAGTGCTCAATGCTACCCTTAGGATGAAATTTTATTTTGTAAACCCATTTGGAATCAATTGGGCGCTTCCCAAGAGAAAAAGGAGCGAGAGTCCAAGTGTTATTCGCTTCTAAAGCAGATATCTCTTTAGACATAGCATCGCGCCAATGAGAATGTTGGAGAGCCAGAGAAAATGAAGTGGGCTCATCAACAGAGGAGATGGCCGCAAGAAGAGCTGTATGATTAGCACTAAAACACAAATAACACAAATTTTGAGATAGGGGATGTACCGTTGAAAAATATGATAGCGAGGTCGAGGAAGGTGATGGATTGTGTGGAAGTAATGATGGAAGGAGATTAACATCAAAATTAGTGAGGCGATGAGAGAGTTGGCGAGTACGTCGAGCTAGTGGAGGTGGAACAGAGGCATCGACTGGGGCAGGTGACGATGAAGAAGGTGATGACACAGAAGGTTCGAAAATTGAGCCGGTAACAGTAGTGGACTGTTCAACTTCCAAAACCTCAGAAGGAATGATGGGATCAGAGGCCGCTTGACGGGCAAGAGAATCACTATAATCAGCAGAAGAAGATCGGGTGCTTTAGAATAAGGATAAATGCGCTCAGAAAATTTGACATCCCGTGAAGGATAGATAATTCTGCGATCCAGATCATATATCCGATACCACTTTTGACCATGAGGGTAGCCAAAAAAAAAAAATGCCTGGTTGGCCTCGAGGAGCAAACTTATCTCGAGATTTACCCAGAACATCCGCATAACATAAACAACCAAAAGTGCGCGAATGATTATACTCAGGAGGTTGGCCAAAAAGAACTTCATACGGAGTTTTATCATTTATCACAGACAAAGGCATGCAGTTGATCAAATAGGCAGCAGTCAAAATGCATTCTCCCCAAAAACTAATTGGCAAATGAGCACGAAAGCGAAGAGCTTGGGCCAATTCAAAAATGTGGCGATGTTTTCGTTCAACGACTCCATTCTGCTGAGGAGGTGTGAACACAACTAGTTTTTTTTTTTCATACCATGATCCAAAAAATGAGTTACAAATCAATATGATTGAATTCCAAACCATTGATGTACGGAACACTTTTATAGTGGTGTGAAATAGTGTGGAAACCCAACCGAAAAACACCATCAAATACCGTTTTGCTTCAGATTTATGCTTCATAAGAAAAACCCAAGTTACACGAGTGTAATCATCAACAATAGTGAAAAAAAGAGCTCCGGAATGGGACGGAGTATGATAAGGTCCCCAAATGTCGCAATGAATCAATTGAAACAAAGTATTATTCTTATGCAAAGGAAATGGTAAATGAGTCTGTTTAGCTTTGCAACAAGCATCACAAATTGAAATTGAAAAGTCACTAGAAACTGAAATACTTAACTAAAGAAAGTCGACCAATCGGCAGATGACCAAGACGATGATGCCATAAAGAAGATGTGCCCTCCTTCTGTGCAAACAAAACTTTCCGTCCGCCGCTGGTATCAAAATGCTCCAAGTAATACAATCCATCACGTTCTCTGCCCACTCCAATCAGCTTCCTCGAGTGTAAGTCATTTATAAAACAAAATTCAGGACCAAAAGTAAAAAAAAAACAATTTGAATCTCGAGTCAATTTGCTGACAGAAACGAGATTAAATCAAAATTGGGGTATCCCAAAAACATCCCGCAAGACCAGATTTTTGTCAAAATGAAAATTGGCCAACGGTTTGAACCAGAACTCTAGCACCGTTAGGTTTTTGAACAAACAGAGGATGTGATGGCCGACAGAACACTGCAATTGATTAACCAAATAAGTAGAATGATCAGTGCCGCCGGAATCGGTGGCCCAATCTGTTTTACCGGAATATGTCAAATTGAAGGGCTGAGAAGCTGGGGGAACCGCGGCAGATTGATTACCCAACATAGCAATCAGTTGCTGGATTTGAGCCTGAGTGAGGGTGGCCGAATTGGTGGACTAATCGGTAATGGCGGAAAAGGCAGCACGAGTGTGGGATTCTTGTGTCCATTGCGGCTGTCTCCATCCCGGTGGGTAGCCAATCAACTCATAACAATGATGTTGTATGATTAGTCCGTTGAAAATGCGAACAGAGAAGCTTGTTGGGACCACTGCCGCTGCGTTGTTCACTTCGATCCCAGCTGTCACGTCTTCCATCACGACAGCAAGAATCAGTAGGGCTTTGGCTAGCAAAGTGGCAGATTCGATCACCAGTAACCGTAAATCAAAAATGTTCCGCTGCTTTTCATCGCCAACAACAACAGAGTAAGCACGTCCCAGGGTTGGCAGCAGTTCAAGACTGAGAATCGTTGATCTCACGGTCTTATACGTCTCATCGAGACCTATGAGGAAATCAAAAACTTTTTCTTCTTCATGGATTTGATCCATCTTCTGTTTGACACCACAGGTGCAACCACTGGAACTCCAGACCGGAATCGGACGAAGATTCTGCTACTCGTTCCACACAGCCTTCAACTTGCCATAGTATGTTGTAGTCGAGGTTTTCTCTTGCTGAAGAAGAGCGATCGTGCATTTCAATTTATAAACACGAGGGGCAATCCCTTGAGTGAAGTGCTCCTGGTGTTGTCAGCGCCGGCTTTGAGTTCTTTACAGACAGCATTTGTAATCCATGCCTTAAGCAAGGCGTTACACTGAATCCAATCTTGAAATTCAGCACTGTTGACATTGGGTTTAGAGATCGTACCATCTAAAAATCCAGCTTTATTCTTTGATTGAAAAGCCATCAAAAGACTGTTTCTCCACATGAAGTAGTTGTCTCCAGTTTCGACTAAGGGATCGGTGACAAAAAGTAGGCCGGGATGATCGGAAGGATGAATATAGTACGGAAATTTGATATCGAACCGTGGTTGCAGCCACAGTGGAAAAAAGGGGTGGCGATGAGATCACCAGAAGGGGGGGGGGGAGTGGTGGGATTTTGATCACCAGTCATGGTTGCAAAAAAAAAATGAGCCGAGAAAAAAAAAATTTGGTGGCGAAAAAAAATTATTTTGATGGCGGCTCAAACTAGGTTACTGCTCTATACCATGAAAGAAGGAGCAGAAAATGATGATTTCATATTGACGAAGCGTGGATTCACGTCGCCGGTTTAACGGTGGAACTCTGGCTAGGGTTTCCTGCAAAACAAAGCCTCAAGGGTCTCCCGAGGATAGACACTCCGATGCTTATGTCAATAAAGGGTTATCGGAACAATTGAGTGTATAGTTTGTTAAGCTATATTTGCGTACCTGTACTGAGATGTGATCAACCCTATTTATAGGCATGAGAATCCCCGGGAAGTCTCCGAATCCTATTAGGTTTATACAACCTAAACCGTCCTAAGAGAGTCGGTTGGACTCCTTTCCCGGTTAATGGGCCGGTCCAGTCTTGGTGATGGATATGGACTCGTCAAGTGCCCCTGTCAAGTGTTAGTTATAGAAGATAAACAACGCTTGGCATAAAGTAAGTGTCACCTGGAACAAGCCCGAGAGTGGAAGGCTAATCTCGTTCAGCTAGTTGTCGAGCAATGCATCAAGTGTCCTCGACTCAAATGCATAACCCTCAATCTTGTATGCCTGGGGCGTAATCAGCGGGTTAAATCTTGACCCGGGAAGGCGACCCGTTTCATAGTCCCACCCAACTTTTCAACCGTACGTTATTAGTGGGCATGTTTCCCAACGGCAGCTTCACCATCATTACTCCCTTGAAACTCACCCTAACTGTCATATCGTGGGCCGTAATTAGGGAGACATGGGAGAGTAATTTTTATTTTGAAGGAAAAGATTCCCTCGCTCCTCTTTCATGTTGTCGTTTTGCAAAAAAAAAAACCAAAGTGCTCCTCCCTGTCAGAGTGCTCCGACTATCTTTACCGGAATATTCACAGCCTTCACCAATATATTGCCCCAGCAACGTTACCACCAGGAGATTTGCTACCAAGAATTCGGAAGAACACTGGGAAGCTACAATTCGAAAGGCTAGTGGTTATACCCTCCTCCAATAGTAAGTTTTCGGATCTGACCATCCCGGTTTTATTCAAAGTCTTTTTCTTTTTGAATTGCAGTCAGGGTAGATTAGTAACGGAACCATGGTTAGAGATTCTGAGGGAAAAACCGTTGATGATTTTGCTTCCACCATAGATTCTGTTGATAAGGTAGAAAACATTAGAACAAGGTACGACCTTCCTTTAGATCTAGAGGCTAGAGCCCCGTTAGGAAACGAGAGAGCTAATTCTCCTCCTGAGGGAAGAATTACTGTGTATTACCGATTTATGCATCAAGGGCTTTGATTCCCCCTTTTCCCTCTGTTCGAGGAGATTGTGCAGTACTATAAGACTCCCCTTGCTCGTTTCACCCCAAACCTTATAACTTTTGTTCTGGGATTTGCAAAAGTATGCCAACATGTAAAAGTGAAACCTCAGTTGATACTGTGGAGGCATTTCTTCCAAGTAGTTTTTGCCTCGACCTCTTTCCAAGATTGGTACATTGTGAAGAGACGCCTTAGATCCAGCGTTAAAAGGATGGTTGAGGCGTATGGCGGCTCGCCTGAATGGAAGCCTGACTTCTTGTTTGTAAGGGCATCCAAGAACTATTGCCTATCGTGGAACCATCGAGAAACGGAGGGTCTTGGAGCGATAAAGGATAAGTGGACCGAAGAAGACGATAAGTGCATCGAGGAGCTTGATGTGGATGTGGAGAAATTCTTGAAATATTCTAAGGTCATTAAATGGAGTGACGTACAATATTACATACCCCTTGTATCTACCGAGGAGAATGATGATGCGAATGCTAATGTCGAGATCTCAACCAGAATTTCTCTCGAAACCCCTGTTGGAGAAAACAAAGGTACTAATCATTTACTTCTCTCTTGTCTGTTCTTAGGTCATGTCTTCAAGTAATGCTGGTTCTCGATTGTTTGGTGAAGAAGATCGCTTTACTATTGTGAATTTAGATGAGGATGTTTCCATCACTGCAGCCCTTCGGCAGAAGAAAAAGAAGAAGAGGATCATGAAGGCTGGTGACAGAGCGAAATCCAAGAAGGCCAGAACGAATGCGCCTTCGAAAGAAACTGCAGCACCAGGCGATGAAACAGTGCCCCCTGTTACTGAGACTATTCAAAATCCTCCTACGAAAACTGGGCCAAGTTTCGTTCCCCCTAGACCAGAGAAAGGCAAGGGCCTCCTCGAGGGAGAGGCGATTACTCTGCCCCCTCAACTGTTCGAGGGAGGTCCGTCCGTGGCCATGCACACCTTCAGCAACCCACCGTCTATCGAGTGTCCTGTCCTCGAGGAATTCGCTGCTCAGCTAAATGAGGCCGATAGTATGAGACTGGTAAGGAATTTTCCACTGTTGCAAATGAATGTTTTCCACGAACCAGTACCACATCAATGTGTTCCTAATGTGTTACGTTGGTGTAGATAAGCGCGGCCTCGATGGCCTATCTGGTGCATCTAAGGAAACTGCAAGAAGACCTGGTCACAGCTCGATCTGAGAGGGATGAAGCTTTGTTCGAGGTGGTGACTCTCGAGGAAAAGGCCCGCAAGTCCAAGCTAAGGAGGCCGAGAATGCCTTGGTACAAGCCAAGTATGATGAGCTAGATGAGAAGATGAAGTCATTTGCTAGCTTGCACATCTCGAAAGAGGAGCTGCACCAGTGATGTGTTGCATTCATGTATAAGATGCTGTCCACAGGAAGGATGGCCGCGGCACTCGAGGAGATGAATTTGGTTGCCACTAAGTGCGGGGTGCACCGGGTTGGTGTAGCAGGTCTGAAGAGGCTCGATCAGGATAGACCCATCAAAGCCAAATGGTTCAAGCAACTCCTGATAAAAGACTCAAAGAAGACCATGCACGAGGTAATGGTGAAGGTCCTAACGAAGTTGAGCCCCGAACAGCTGCCCCTGTGGGAAGCTCTGACTGGTGCTCTGGCACAAATGAGGTCTCCGGCAGACATCGCCTCATTCCCTAGTGACGTGCCTGCCATCCTTGCTAGGGGTCCGAGTAAAGAGGACTCCATACCTGACGTACCAGATGAGTACATGGGTATTAAGCTCGAGGATGCCAATGGAGCCACCAAGGAAGATGTTGCTGACACTGGCCATTCCGGAGTGCAGAGAAATGCTGAGGATGCATCTCAGAACCACTCCAAGGACCACCCTCTTGGCAGTGATGCTGTATGAATCCTGCCTTTTATAATAGCTGCTAGGCTCATTGAACTACTATTTTTGTAATGAATTGATTACTCCATTTTTTTCGTGCTTATACGAGCATTTTTTTTAATGCGAACATCTTACGCTCCTACTTTGAAGCAAGATAGTTGGGCCGTCCACCGTGTTCACCTCATGGTTCTATTGGAGGAGCAATCGAGTGAGTACCCGTTGTACTCCATGATCAGCGGGAATTTAAGAGGTCGTGCCGACGTGCATAGTATCAAGACAGTGGCAAACCTAGAGAATGACTTTCTCGACGCGATGAGGACACACAATGTGAAAGTTAATCAGCATCTAATAAATGAGATTAAAGGACTTCATGAGGAGATGCAGCGTCGGGAGGTTCAAAGTTTGAAAGACTACGGTGATTCACTGACTTTCGAGACCGAGATCCATGATGAGCTTGTTATGTTGGAGAAGGAGAATGCTCGGTTGAGGGAAAGACAACAGATTACCATGTCCCCCTGGTTCTTTGAGAAACATCAAGTGCTAACTCGAGTTCAACATATGATTATGACCAGAACTTGCCGCTTCATTGCAGCCATGGACATTTTGAAGGAGAAAACCCGTGAGATCGAGCTTTTTACGGATTACAATGCCAAACTGCAAAATCTGTTACTAAATAACAACATTGATTTCGAGGTTTATGAGCACCCAGAGGAAACGGTGCATCCTCAAACTCGAAGTTCTCGAGAAGATTTATTAATGAGGGTGCATGCCCAAGATCAAGAGATCGTGGATCTTAAGGACAAGCTTAACCAATGTGTGAATCTCCTGAGGGGATTATTCATCCTTCTCCTGACAATCCTATCAGGGAAGTCCTTGTAATAGTATAGAGAAAATACGTGTATTTTCTACAAGCTCGCACAGTAGTGTGGATAAAATTAATGGATTATTTTGAAAAAAACTCGAGTATCAATTTATGTAGCGCTTTTTAGGCTAGATGTAAAGTACACGGCTCTATTGAGGGAATTATGTATGAATTCCTCGATTTGATACTGCATTTTGCAGCGTGTGTGAGGAGAATTCCTTGGTTTTGTGTCCGGATGTTGAATACACGGCTCTTTAACGAGGATTGCCCTAAAGAAGGAGTCCATCTCGATGGCTAGTCATGAATATAATGTCGACAATGAAAAGAATATGTAATATCTTTTATTGAATAATTACCCGAGGAGCTGGGTTAGCATTACATATGAGAGGATAAAACTGACGAAGTAAATAAAGCAAGTAAAACACAAAATAGGCAAATAGCAAGTAAAGATTCAAACATAGAACCTGCAAAGGTTCTGAATGTTCCACCATGGAGGGAGAATATTCCCGCTATCATCCAAGGTCTGTAAGCGGTAGCTGCCTGGCGGGGAAGTCTAGATAACCTTGTAGGGCCCTTCCCAATTTGCTGTGAGTTTTCCAGGAGTTTATGCTTGACTGGCTTCATTTTTCCTTAGCACGAGATCACCTACCGCGGGATCTGTGGCCTTCACCTTCTTGTAATAGTCTTTTCGCAGAATCTCTTTATATTTTGCTTCTCGAATTCTGACGGCATCTCCCCGTTCCTCAAGCAGGTCGAGGTTTAGCTTGATGTCATCGTCATTAGTGCTCTCAACAAAGTTTATTGTTCGAGGGCTCGACAAGCCTATTTCAACCGGGAGGACAGCATCCATGTCATAGACTAAGCTATAGGGTGTTTTGTCTGTCAAAGAGTAAGCAGTAGTACGATATGACCATAGGACGTGAGGAAGCTCGTCGGCCCGTGCACCTTTTGAGTCATACAACCTGGTCTTGATCCCATGTAAGATGGTTCTGTTCATGGATTATGCTTGACCATTAGCTTGAGGATGAGCCACGCTTGAAAAGCGACGCTCAATTTGCATTTCCTGGCACCATGACTTGAAAGGATTATTCTCGAATTGGGTTCCATTGTCAGAGACGACCACCTTTGGGATTCCAAAACGGCATACAATGTTTTGCCAAAAAAAATCCAAGACCTTCCTTCCTGTTATCGAGGTCAGCGGTTTAGCTTCTACCCATTTAGTGAAGTAATCTACTGCTACGATTACCCATCTTACTCCTCCTGCCCCTTCTGGATGGAAAGTGCCGATGATGTCAGTGCCCCATTGGTAGAATGGCCAAGGGCTTTGGATGGTGACCATCTCGTGCTGTGGTTGTCGAGTGATGGGAAAGAAGCGTTGACACTTATCGCATTTCTATACCCACTGGTATGCGTCCTTGAAGATTGTTGGCCAGAAATACCCTGCCCGCAAGACCTTCTTGGCAAGTGCTCTTGCCCCCATATGGGCTCCACACGATCCCTCGGGTATTTCTTTGAGTGCGTAAGCTGCTTGATTTGGGCCAATGCATCTTAGCATGGGTAGCAGGTACCCATGCTTGTATAGGATGCCGTCTTGCAACGTGTATTTAACTGCCTTCAACTGGAGGGCTCTGGCTTCTGCTTTTCCACTTGGTAATGTGCCATCTGTAAGGTATTGAAAATGGACGGGGTCATCCAAGTGTTGTCGTCCTCGGTGATAGTCATTACGGGGGCTTCCTGGATGCTAGGTTTGGAGAGAATCTCGACCCACACTTTGTGACTGAGGTGTGTAAAGTTCGAGGAGGCCAACTTACTGAGGGCGTCCGCCCTTTTATTTCTCGACCGGACTATGTGAGATACAGTACATTCTTTGAACTTGTCTTTGATTTCGAGTACATTCTCGAGATAGCGCTTGAGTTGCTCATCATTTGCTGTATATTCGCCCGATATTTGCTTCACTACTACCTGTGAGTCATTGAAAACTCGTATTCTGTGAACCCCGAGCTTTAGTGCCATGTTCATCCCTACTATCAGGGCTTCATACTCGGCCACGTTGTTGGTGACCGAGAATCCGAACCTTAGTGCATATGTGTATTCCGCGTCATATTCCCTCATTCTTTCGATGTCGGAATCAGCTGAAGGTTTGGCTAATATGATACCGGCCCCTCCCCCTTCATCACAACGAGAGCCGTCGACGTATAGTAACCAGGCTCGAGGATTGATGTTTACGCGAGTAGCAGGATCGTCATTAAGTTCCATAATTTTCGGGACGTCGACAGCTCGAGACATTTCTACTAGGAAATCCGCGAAGGCCTGCCCTTTGATTGCTGCTCATGGTTTGTACTCGATGTGGTGTTCGCCCAGTTTGACTGCCCACTTCATCAGCCTTCTGGTGGCCTCTGGCTTGAGTAGGACCTGCTGAATGGGTTGTTTTGTCAAAACCATGATGGGATGTGCTTGAAAGTATGGGCGCAGGCGTCGGACGGCTAAGACCAGGCTGAGGATGAGTCTATCCATGGGTGTATAGCGGGTTTCTGTTCCTTGCAAGACTTTACTGACGAAGTAGACGTGGATTTCTCTGCAATCTTTGCATTGCAGAGCATGGCTGAGATGGCTTTCTCTCGAGCTGCCAGATAAATATATAAGGTTTCTCCTGGTTCTGGCTTAGTTAATGTGGACAACTGCTTAAGGTGTTCCTTTAGATCCTGGAAGGCTTTCTGGCACTCCTCATTCCATTCAAATTTTTTGCCTTTGTGGAGGGTATGGAAGAATGGAAGGCTTCTCTCCACGGCTCGAGAGAGGAATCTGTTTAGAGCTGCCAAGGAGCCCGTGAGTTTTTGAACTTCTTTGATGGTTTTTGGCGCTTCCATGGCCAAAATGGCTTTGATTTTCGCCGGATCGACGCTGATTCCATCCTTGGAAACTTGGTATCCCAGGAATTTTCCTGACCCAACACAGAAAGTATATTTCTTAGGGTTTAGCTTCATGTTAATTTTGCGTAAGATCGTGAAGATCTCTCGCGTGTTTGCAGCTACTTGCTCATCTTTGTTGGTCTTTATCACCGTGTCATCCACGTAGATCTCGATGTTCCGGCCGATTTGGTTATGAAGGGTTCTGTTCACGAGGCACTGGTACGTTGTCCCTGTGTTTTTTAGTCCAAAGGGCATCTTGCCATAGCAATAGACCCCTGTATAAGCTGTCTTCTCTGCATCTTCTCGTGCCATGAGGATCTAATGATATCCCTTGTATGCGTCGAGAAAACTAAGGGTTCTGTATCCGGCGATACCCTCCACCATCTGATCTATGACTGGTAGGGGGTAACAGTCTTTGGGGCAATGCTTGTTGAGGTCAGTGTAATCTTGGCACATGCGCCAAGAATTATTGGGTTTTCGCACCAAGACAGGGTTGGCTAACCAAGTGGGTCATAGAACTTCTCAGAGTATGTTGGCACGAACGAGCTTCATCGTTTCTTCGTTGATGATGTCATTGCGTTCACGAGCAAATACGCTTTTCTTCTGCTGCACCGGTTGACGTTTGGGTCGACATTTAGCTTATGTTCCATAACTTCTCGAAGAACTCCTGTCATGTCTGCCGGAGACCAGGCGAATATATCACAGAATTCGCGTAGCAAGGCACTAACCTCGGCTAGCAATGGGTCACGGAGAGAAACACCGATTTGAACGGTCTTGGCAGGGTCAGTCTCGCTCAGGATCAACTCTCGTGTCTTACTGCTGAGCGGTGGGAGATTGGAGGTCTCGGGATCCTCCGTCTGTGGTAGTATGGATGTTTGTCGGATTGAGTAACACTCCGACGCAGCAGTACTCGGATTAAGGTACGCGGTCTTTTTTTCGATTCTGACTGATGTGAGCAAGCATTCCCGAGAGCTACGCTGGCATCCTTGTACTACTCCAACTCCATATTCTGTCGGAAATTTCATTACTAGGTGATAGGGAGACTAGACTGCACGTGCTTGGCACATCTAGGGTCGTCCCAGAATCACGTTGAACGGCGAAGGCGCATCTATCACAGCGAAGTCCATGGTTAAAGTGACCGTCCTAGGGTGCGACCCTATCGAGATGGGGAGGCTAATTATTCCTGTTGGAATAATGGTGTAACCCGATAATCCCATCAAGAGCATTGTGGCTGGGCGGATGCTAGGGTTCTTGATATTCATCTTCTTGAAGCAATCGCTATATATGATGACCGCGCTGCCATTATCCACATAAACCCTTCCAACTTTTACATTTGCAATTATTGCCTCAATAACCATGGCATCGCTGTGCGGACAGATATCTGGGACTATATCACTATCTGTGAATACGATGGCCTCCATCCCCTTGAACCTCTTGTGGCTAGGCTCCTGTCGAGGAGTCTTGCTGACGGTTCGCAACGAGTTCTTCATGGCCGTGGTGGATAAGACTTCGAGGGGAGCTCCGTAAATAGCCCCTACCTGGTGAGTGATCTGCTTCATCAGATCCGCTGGGGGGAGTTGCTGGAGTTGTTGTGGTGTTGCTTCAGTAATTTGGTGAGGTTGTTGTTGGGTATTGGCTCTCGGTTGCCAACTATTCCCCCGGTCATCTCCTCGCGGTGGGCCTTTGAAGTTTCTTTTAGGGTAATTTTGCGATTGGGGTTTGTTATTCTTCTGCCGAGAGACTCCTTGTATGTACTGCTGGAACTTGCTAGACTTAACCCCGTTCTCGATTTTCCTCTTAATTTCTCGACAATCCTCTGTGTCATGGCCGTGATCCTTGTGATATTTACAATATTGTTCTCTTGCCCTATTTGGATTAGGTGCCAAAGGTTTCAGGACTGGTAATTCATCCTTATGGATCTGGAGAATTTCTCGTCGTGGCTTGGTTAGGGATGTTAACTGCCTATCCATCTTGGGCAGCGCCGGTTTGTTCTCCATGGAAACTTTTGATTTGTCTCTTAGTCCTATCGACGCAAAAGATTCTTGGGATCTTTTGAGTGTGTGCTCTCGTTGTATGTGGTTCTCGACAATGGCCCACATCTCCTGGGCATTCTTGGGGGGCTTAGTCGAGAGCTTGACTCGCAACATTGAGGATTTTCCAAAGGGGTTGAGGCCTTGAATGAATCCATTGCGAACATCTCGATCATCAATGTTGTCAACCTGCAAGGTTTCTTGTATGAACCGTCTATGGAAGTCGGTGAGACTCTCATGTTGCCCTTCTCTGATTGAGGAGAGGTCAATGGATATTCGCGATATTCGTTTACTCTGAAAGAATCGGGTAGCTAGTTTGACGGACATATCCTCAAAGCTAATTATACTCCCTTCTGGTAATTGCCCAAACCATCGCTGTGCTGATCCCGCCAAGTAGGAAGGTAGCGCTTTAGCCATGAAATTCATAGTTGTGTTTCGAATTCTCATAACTTGGAAATATCCTTGCAGCCATTGGGAGACATCGGTGTCTCCTGAATACGGTTTAAATTCCTTAGGGAAGTCAAAGTCTCGGGGCTTAGGTTCATCTCGAATGTCAGGGATGAAGGGGCTTCGATCTAACCCTATCCCGATGATCTTCCTCATTTCTTCTCGGATCAAGACGTTCTGATCTCTTGCTCTCTGTTGATCTCCATGGGGCTATGGCGGATTTTCTCTATACCTGTGGTATTGCTGATGTCTAGGAGGTGAGTACTGAGGATGGTGATGGTATCCTCGGTTATAATTTCCCTCGATGTTGTTGTAACCTTGATGTGGTTCGTGGCCAGGTTTATATTCATCTCTTCGAGGACTTCTTCGGTTCCAATTATGTCCCAGGCGGTTGTGCACGTTAGTTTGCCTCGGAGGGTTCCATTCTCCTTCTTCAATGACCTCGATACTTGGTGAATCGGGATACTCTCGAGTATTTTTACGTCGGTATGTCGCGTCAAATTCCTCGAGGGTCATTTCGAATGCTGGGTATTTTTCTTTGAAAGCGTTCCAGAATATGGTGTCCCGAGTGGCGTTTGAGCGATCTTCGTGGGGGTCTTCATACCCCTCGACTTCTTGGTAATCCTCGTCTTCTTGGACCTTTCACTTCCCCCACATCTTCTCGAGAAGGGCTAGAGTTCTGCGAGCTTCTTTTTCGTCGATCAAATCATCCAACTCCTGTTCTGTGGGGATCAAGTTTTCTAAGGAGACAGCGCCGCCTGGTTTCTTCGAGGACATATCTTCGCATCCTCTGTTGTTGATCGCTATCATCTCGTAGCTTCTTGAGTTCAGCCTTGATCTTGACTAGTTTCTGGTCCTCCAAACGCTTTTTGATAGCAGGGTATTTCGAGGAAAAGGTACATCCTCCTTTTCGGGTGGATGATTGGCCTTGTCTTGCTTCTTCAGATCTGGCTTGGAAGAACCAAGAACCAGGCGCTCTTTTGTTGGTTCTTTTGCAGGTTCATCGCCCTGGATCTTTCCTGCTTTCTTCCGTTCTTGTTTATGTTAGAATTCTACCAGGGTGGTGTGGTCACCCGGACTATGTCGTCGGCCGAAGATGCGGTGCTATTGGTGTCTTCTTCAACTCTAACCATTGTGCTGGTTGTTCCTACAACCCTAGTTTTTGTGTCCATTGCGGCTGTCTCCATCCCGGTGGGTAGCCAATCAACTCATAACAATGATGTTGAAAATGCAAACAGAGAAGCTTGTTGGGACCACTGCCGCTGCGTTGTTCACTTCGATCCCGGCTGTCACGTCTTCCATCACGACAGCGAGAATCAGTAGGGGCTTTGGCCAGCAAAGTGGCAGATTCGATCACCGGTAACCGCAAATCAGAAATGTTCTGCTGTTTTTCATCGCCAAACAACAACAGAGTAAGCACGTCCCAGGGTTGGCAGCAGTTCAAGACCGAGAATCGTTGATCTCACGGTCTTATACGTCTCATCGAGACCTATGAGGAAATCAAAAACTTTTTCTTCACAGATTTGATCCATCTTCTGTTTGACGCCATAGGTGCAATTGCTGGAACTCCAGACCGAAATCGGAGGAAGATTCTGCAACTCGTTCCACACAGCCTTCAACTTGCCATAGTATGTTGCAGTCGAGGTTTTCTCCTGCTGAAGAAGAGCGATCGTGCATTTCAATTTATAAACACGAGGGGCAATCCCTTGAGTGAAGCGCTCCTAGTGTTGGCGGCGCCGGCTTTGAGTTCTTTACAGACAGCATTTGTAATCCATGCCTTAAGCAAGGCGTTACACTGAATCCAATCTTGAAATTCAGCACTGTTGACATTGGGTTTAGAGATCGTACCATCCAAAAATCCGGCTTTATTCATTGATTGAAAAGCCGTCAAAAGACTGTTTCTCCAAGTGAAGTAGTTGTCACCAGTTTCGACTAAGGGATCGGTGACAAAAAGTAGGCCGAGATGATCGGAAGGATGAATATAGTACGGAAATTTGATATCGAACCGTGGTTGCAGTCACAGTGGAAGAAGGGATGGCGGTGAGATCACCAGAAGGGGGAGTGGTGGGATTTGATCACCAGCCATGGTTGCAAAAAAAAAAATGAGCCGAGAAAAAAAAAAATTTGGTGTGGAAAAAAAATTATTTTGATGGCGGCTCAAACTAGGTTACTGCTCTGTACCATAAAAGAAGGAGCAGAAAATGATGATTTCATATTGATGATCGTCCAAGAAGGAGGTCATATATAGACCAAATACAACAACCTAAATTGTGAAAATGATAATAAAGAGATTCGTACTTATCTCTATTACAAAGATATAAGGAAAGTATACTAATCCATACATAAGTAAATGTTTCTTGTTGAGCTTCGAATCTTGTCCATGATTGGTTAGAAATTAAATTGAGCATTCTCATTGACCCATTAGTTCACATGAAATCATCAATTTTAAATTGAGCCCTTTGATTAGTTAATATATTAACATGGCATAAGTAATTTAAAACAAGGCTAAAATGGTCAATTAATAAAATTAATTTTCTTTTTTTTGTCAGCCAAAATATGTCATTAGCCGAGAAAAATAACCTAATTTTGTGCCAGGCTAAACGACTACGTTTACTACCTGAGGTTGTGCCCATTTTCTGTACCCATTTTCTCTTACTACGCGACATTGCTTTTTTTCTCAATGGAGGGAACATCGATTATTCTCCTTTTAATGCGAAAAAAGAGGAAAAATCGATGTTGTTTCCCTTTCATCCATTAATTTGGATACAATTTTTTAGTTTTTACGCATATTATGGATTTTAATAGTAATCTCATTCAAGAGGGACATCATAATTTTTTCAGAGTGGGGAAAATAATTCGCCTATTATTTGATAAAAGCAGATATGCCAATTCTTATATTTTTTACATCCCAAGCACAATCGGAAAAAGATCAATACAGGTCTACAAATGATTAAAAAGAGCACCATTGAAAAGAAGAAATCAGATTGACGGAACAAGCTGAAAGCCCAAATACCTCATGTCTGTGTTACATAAGTGAAGCGAGAATATGGTTTTTATTTCTTTCTTTTTTTTTTTTTTTGGGCATCGGCATTTGCTAAATATCTGTGCTGATTAACATGTTGCTTACATTCTTTGTGTCGTGAATCATAAATTCATAAGCATGGAACATTGAATATCCGAACTGCTGCTAACATGAGTGTAATACTTGCTGTTAAGCTAAAGAAAAGATTAGGTTTCGGAATATGGACAAAAATCTGAGCTGGTAGAATTGGTTGGTTCAGAAATTTGAGTTAGGGGAGATGGTTGATTCTCTATTTCTATGTTCAGAATAGCTTTGTTGATAGGAAAGGCTTCTACCGATATAAAAGGCTTCTACTGATCCCATTCAGCAAGATAGAGACAATTATCTTTTAGTAGTTTCAATGCTCTTGCTTGTGATTTGTTTGGATTTGCTTTCTTTTTTTTTCTTTAACATTAAATAATGTATTTTCATGAAACAATTTTTATTTGCTTCAAATAATATGACCACTTGAAAGCATGTTCTTATTCACATGATCACCCAAACTAGTCCCATGTAGCGCGACGAAGAAAGAACTAGTCTCAATAAATATCAACACGTTCCAAGTAGTAGTATGAGACTTGTAATTCAATCATGGACACAAAGGTCAACAAGTACACAAGTAAGCACTCAAGATTCATGCACTGAGAGGAGAGACAAAATTACAATATAAAATGTGAGAGGAGATGTTCACCTTGTTCCGCTTTGATTCACTATGGTTGTTCTCTAAATCTATTAACGGAGCATTTAAAGTTATTTAAGATCATTATCTCTTAATCATATTCTAAAACTAAATGGTGATATTTATATACAATAGTTTCCTTGTCTAATATGAGGCTAATGCCAATGATGCATTTTTCACTTTATTCCCCTAAAACCTTAGATGTCATTCTTAAAAGCTAAAGTTATAGATTAGACTTTGCCGACCAGAAAAATGAAAACTAAGAAAAACCTCATTTTAAAAGTGTAGTTGGAAAAAGAAACCAATTTCTCAAAGTTGACCTCTCAACTTCAAGTTCTGAAATTTCAGCAAAGTACCATTAAAGTTGCTATGTTTTAAGCAAGGTTTTTGATCAGAACATAAATCCATGTCAAGAGCCATTGAAACCATTAAAACTAGGTTAAACATAGAATAGATTAAGTGAAAGAAATCAGGAAAAAGGATTTGCGAAACAGAAGAAATAAGACTGTGAAAATAGTACCCTGCACCAGGAATTTTTCAGAATTTTAGTCCATCCGTAACGAGTTGCCATTTTCAAATAGATTCTGAGCAATCCGTGAATCCAATTGTAAACCATAAAAAACAAAACTAAACTACATTGAATGGAGAAGGGATTCATGAAAAGAAATCCCTCAAAGTGTTATTAGAACTGAAAGAACGAAGCTCTGCAAAATAGCTACTTAACCTTCTTTTGTGATCATCACTGCTCCAGCTGAAAACTAAAAGAGGCATCATATCCCTCATCGAAGGAGGACTGAAATCAAGCAAGAACTTAGCAAAAACAGACATGATAAGACAAGAGGTTTGAGCCTCAAGAATGGGCTCCGATTCGGTACTCTTAGGAGTTCCACTTTCAATAGATTCTACACTCCGATGTAATAAGATATAAACTACTAATAAACAGAGAATCACACAAAACCTACTCCCTTCTCTAAATGACAGAATCAGTAGTATTAAAACATTACTTCTCCCGCTAATTCCCGCTGCTAAGTTTATAACATAAAATAAAAATAACATGATCAATACCATCCCCAAGATCATCTACATCAGTTTCTTTAGTTTTAACATAAATCATTGCTTTAAGTTCCAACCCAAAAACCAGCTTGATTTCTAGGACAAGATATGAGCCGGCTATTCATGTATAATTCCAAAATTATCGAATTAAGGGGTGAGAGAATCACTTACCCTTGCAGCTTGCCAACATCGGAAAGATTCAGGCATATCATAAGCTTTAATATTCTCTGTAAATTTTCTTTGTACGAATCAACACTCAATATGAAAACCAAACTTACTAATAACTTCTGGGAATGGTAACCACTTGTTTACATAGTTTCTGTGTGAAGAAAGAGTTGCGGAGAGGGATATAGTTATGCCAGAAATTCTGAAGAGTCATATTTGTTACCCGTCGTGGGGATCAATTTAGAGTCTTAATAATCACCATACTAAACTTTCATTTCATTGTCTTATACTCTTATTTAGTGGGCGTTTCTTCAAAAGAAAATAACCGAATGCACAATCATGTTTGGTAGTGAATCACTTTTTGGCTTCCTACGAAAAGCTAAATTAATTAGTTCGTAGTTTATAATGAAAGGAAGAAAAGTCTTGTTTTTCTTGTTCTATAAGTTCTAATCACCCACCCACTTACTAGTTTACCTACCCAACTACGGTGTGCATCACCCAAAAAAACTTTTCAGTTGACACCAATTCTGCACTAAAATCCAACAATTTGGCTGCTACTAAATATAAGCAAATTAAGTTAAAACCAATTACGCCATTAATTGAAGCTGCTTTTTCCTCCCTCTACAGTAATAGATGAGGTGTGAAAGTTGCCGCTTAACTTCATAAAAGATCATTTGGGGATTTTGATTCGCAATGATCCGAATGAAAAAGGGAAAATAAACAGATTGCATAAAACATTCACTTCAACGAATACAATTAATTAAAATAACCCATGTGGTCTTAAGGATTTTGTAAAACTAGTTTTGTGCTGAAGATGAAATCTCTCTTTGAACTTGAGTATCTACAAACGCCAAAAAATAAAAACCCATTATTTTAGGAAAAAAAAAGAAATGTTAATTCGTTTGTGCAAAAAAAAGTGCGAATAAAAATATGTTTCTACATTTTCCAAATACACAAGCCAGTACAAGTAACCAAGAATTTGATAAAAAAAAAAAATGGACAAATTCCCCTATGCAATGTCATACATACTGCAAAGAAATGAACCCAAAATCTTCACCAGCCCAACACACGACCTAAATCTTCTACCGCTTACAATGTGGTAATGAATTAACTCTTAAAACCTCTTTGTTTCTAAATTATTGTTCAGTTCAATTTTCGATTTAATACAAATTGAATTAATAGAAATTCAAACTAAACAATTATTTTGAAACATAAAGAGTAAATTAATTTAACACCATCTTAGTAGTAGAATATATTATCACTATATCATCAATTTAAAACTTTAAATTGTACAATCAAAACTTTGATTATTGAATCACACTAATTATGCATCATCTTATTGTGACAATCACTGTGATATAATTCAATTACTTTTTATAAATTACTAGTATGTGTCCCGCGCTTTGCGCGGGTTTGTCAATATTAAAAATTTATTTTGTAAAAGAATTAATTAGATAATGTAGTTATTAATATTTCTTAAAATCGTAAAAAAAATTTAATTAATCAATTTTAGATCAAAATGAGAGGTATTGATATTATTTATGAGATGTATATTTGTAAGATCTGGCCAAAAATATTACAACAAAAATTTTGAAAAGTTGTATAATAAAAATTGTCACCACTAACTAATGTTATGTTTGGATTAAAAAATATATTAAAAATGCGTAAATTATGTCTAGATGCCTATGGCTTATTTATAGCCAAGGGGACTTTAGGGATTAGACACAATTAATCGTCCTTGAAAATGTAAAATCGATAAAGTTGAAGACAAAGTAGCACATAAATAGAACTTTAAGAGCTAAAATGATAATAAGTTAAAAGTGATGCTTGATGGCCTCAATTAGCGACACGTGTCGATTATCTTTCTTTCCTTTAATATACTAGTGATGTCTGGTCGCGCAATGCGCGACCCTGGCCCAGTCTTTCTGTAGATCTTAGAAATGTTTATATTTGCAAAAAATAAAATTTTGTATTTGGAGCGATATATTTTAGAAATGTTTGAAGGATTTAGAAATGTTTTATAAGTGTGATCATAGAAATATTTGTATTTCGCAAAAAAAAAAAAAAAAATTGTATTTCGCCATGTATGTTTTAGAAATGTTTTATAAGTGTTACTTATTAAATATAAATAGCTTAATCGAATATATGTGTTGAAGTAAATGTTAGATAAAATATAAAAGCATCCTAATAAATTTAAATATTAGTAAGATGATTTATTGATGTTCTCCATTGGTCGTGCCAAATCAATACTTAGTTTTGGAGATTTTTAATAGCTTTGTAATAAACTTCATCCGAAGGGTATACGCTTAAAACAAAATTGACACTTTGTAACAAAAAATCTAATTGATCAATTCAATTTAAAAAATCACTCTAGTTGAATGAAACATAAAGAAAAATTTTAAAAAAAAAACGTGTCACGTAAAGTGCAAAGGGAGATTTAGTAATTTAGTTATGGTTAGACAAAAGGGCAATTTAGTATTTTCTACATGTCACGTGGCAATCATATAAGGTGTTCGAAAGGGAGGTTTTTGTTTCTAATATAGTAGGATAGGATATAATGATATAAAAACATGTTTTTGCCCTAAAAGTAATTTTTTTTCTTTTTTCCAACTAAAACATGTTCGTAGCCTACCATTCCGATATCATTCTTAAAAAACAATTTCTTTTTTAGAAAAAGAAAATCAAGACCAATCAAACATTCCAAAAATGCCATAAAGTCTCAATCCAAAAGGCGAAAAAAAGAGTTAAGGAAAACACGAAAAAGAAAAAAAAAAAAGAAAAAAAAAGAGAAGTATATACCCATTTCTTTTGCTGACAAAGGACTCAAAACTCTCTGCTACCAACTGGCAGAGGCCGCCTCCCCATAGTTCCTTCTTGCTTTGGCGGACATTACAACGTTTCTCTGTCGACCCATATACAGTAAATTCCCCACTCCAAAACAACAAATCCTTTCTTCTTCCGCCATTTTGATCCAAACGTTGAAGAAATCTTCGAGGCAAAAAAATGCAGAGCACTGCAATTTCATTCACTCCTTCCGTCTCCATCCCCACCAGGAGGAGGAGAAATCCCAACTCCTCCATTCTTCTTCATCCCACCTCACTCTCTTCTTCCCTCCCTAAACCCCCCCTCCATTTCTCCCCTCTCAGCGCTACTTCTTCGGGTAAGAGGTTTGTTAATGGACCCATTCGTTGCTCTGGTTCGGTGAATCCGGTGCGCAGCGGTTGGATTTCTTCTTCGTCTTCGGGCCCTCTTCAGGAACCCGAATGCGATGATGGGGTTAAAGTTCGTGCCACTTCTGTTCCGGAAGCCGCCGGTGAAAAGCCGGAGGGGAAAGCTCTTGGGGGTACTTTGGTGCTTGGGTCGCTTTTTGGGCTTTGGTATCTGTTTAATATCTACTTCAATATCTACAATAAACAGGTAACTCTGCCTTCCTTTTTTTTTTTTTTTCCCTTTTTTTGAATCCCGTAGTAGTTTTCTTACTATTTGAATTTTTGAGAGGCTTTTCTTGCTATTAGTGTGTTAAGATCTATGATTTTTGAATGCGTTGTGCCATTAGGAAATGTTCTTCCTCTGATTCTCTTGCCACACTGGATGGCTGCATGCGATATTGTCTGAGAATTTGTAGAACGCTTTTGTTTTTGTTTTGTTTTTTTTTTCCGCTGTGGTTATTGTTGGAGTTGGGTGGAAGATATTGGTTTTGTGTTAATTTATTAGAAGAATGTCTAATCTGATAGTACCAAGAGTGGATACTGTTAACTTAGATGGATGCCAAATCATGTTTCTAAGTCTTGCTTGCGGGTATTGGTAGATGTTTATTTTTTTATTTTTTTTCAATATGACCAGATGCACAGGCAAAAGTTAAATGTTACTCCTTATTTTTCTCTTTTCTATTTTGTGTTGAAGTTAGTGTGCCTAGAAAATCATTTGCCGAGATGTTCATTGGACTTGTGGGATGTTTACTCCATGGATTTTTTTCCCTCATTCATAAAAAGAATGGAAGCTTTTTTATATTGAAGTTAATGCTCTTTCTGCAGGTACTAAAAGTTTTCCCATATCCGGTCACTGTCACTTTGGCTCAATTTGCTGTGGGATCAGTCCTTGTTGTCTTAATGTGGACTCTTAATCTCTACAAACTGCCTAAGATCAGTGCTGGACAGGTATTATGATGATTACTGATGTATGATCCAGTCACCTTCTTTGAAATTTCACTGGTGATTATAGGTTTTTGTTTTAATGTCACATTGCAGCTTGTTGCGATCCTACCGCTGGCTATCGTTCATACCTTGGGTAACCTCTTCACCAACATGAGTCTTGGAAAAGTTGCTGTTTCATTTACTCACACAATTAAAGCGATGGAGCCTTTCTTCTCTGTTATTCTCTCTGCAATGTTTTTGGGAGAGGTATGCCTTACATGATTTTGTATTTTGTGGACATGATTTTTCTAATTAGTTTCCTCAATTTGTCTATAAATGTGGAATGATATGTTTTTCCAATCTGAGACTTCTATAGTATGACTTGAACTCTCTTGGAGTAGCTACTGCTGGTGCTTCTCTTATTGAAGTTCACTGATCAACACAATTTACTGGCCATTGTTAAACTTCTATTTCTCTTGAGTGTTAGTGTAAATGGTTCTTTTGTTTTTATTGTAGAACATTCTAATAAGAAGGCTTTCCTTTGCAAACTTGGTCTGGTAATATCCTTTTTATTCATGCAGTTTCCTACAGTGTGGGTTGTTGCATCTCTTTTACCAATTGTTGGTGGAGTATCACTTGCATCTATGACTGAGGCATCTTTCAATTGGTAAGGAGTATTGATGTGTTAGCATGAGGTTGCTTCTGAACTGCTTTTTATTCTCTAATACATCTATAAAGTGCTCTGATATGTGATTTATTATATGCATAATTGAAGGGCTGGCTTTTGGAGTGCAATGGCCTCAAACTTGACCAACCAATCTCGAAATGTTCTCAGCAAGAAATTCATGGTTAAGAAAGAGGTATTCCTCTTTACTATGTTGATCTTTAGAAATACCAGCAGATCTGTGAAAAGAGTACTAAATGTTGATAGGTTTCTGTGATTAAAATAACCGATAAATATCATAATGCCCCTGATGATTGATGCTCTTCAGTTGTGTGGGGCTTTGGTTTGGCCAAAATAAAGAAATGAGCTAATTTTTCAGTTATGCATGGCTTTGATTTAGCTACACTTAAAACAAATGAGCTAATCTTTCTTTAGTGTGTTTTGAATTTGGAGATAACCTGCGTTGTGATTTCGTGCAGGAATCTTTGGATAATATTACACTCTTCTCTATAATCACAATCATGTCCTTTTTCTTGCTGGCTCCTTTTGCTTTCTTCATGGAAGGAATCAAGTTCACTCCAGCATTTTTACAATCTGCTGTAAGGAATTCCCTGTTCAATAAATTATACTGCAGTTTTTCACAATTTTGCTTCGTTCATTCATGTTTGCCGGTGCAAATTTTCATGCTTAATAGAAGAATTGGTTTGGTTGACAGGAATTGAACGTCAGGCAGGTCTACACTAGGTCTTTACTGGCTGCACTGTGCTTCCATGCCTATCAGCAGGTATGCATCTGGGATTCTTGTCTTCTTAAGTGCAAGTTCTAAAAATTAATATATTTCTGAAAGAAATGTCCCAGAATTTACTTTTGCAGTAGCCATTAGATCGGAATTTCTTTTAGCAAATGGTGTTCTCTTTGAAAAGATAATGGTTTTTGCTGGAATTAATTTTACCTTGAGTTGCAACTTCTGTTCCTTTATTTGTGTAAAAAGAACACTGGAAAGTTTAACAGTTTCAAAACGGGATAACTTCGTTGTTTTTGCTTGTCTTGCTCTATTTTACTTACTTCAATGGGTTGGATTGAACAAGATAAAGTGCATCAAGTTACTTTCCGTTGTTTATTCAGCCTCGGGGAGATTTGACACTTCCCGTTTTGCTTGCTAAAAGGCATGTGTGGTAATATTTCAGGAAAATATTCATTCACGTCCAATCAAAAGATTAAAGCAGAATGTAGCTGTATGTATAATTTGTTTTCTCCATTCTTATTACTATCCCATTGGGGATAAAATGCAATATATTACGTCCACAGATAAAGTTGTGAAAGGCTTTTGCTAGAAAGAAGAAATAGGAAAAGCAAGGAAAATATTTCACAAAAAAAGCTACAAGTTTAAACTCATTGACTGCTAATTGTAGTACCAGATTTCCAAACTCATAGATCCTAACTACGGAGGACGGGGTTAATGTGATAATGTCAAGTTTGTTTTTTAGCTCTTTTATGAAAGTACGGCTGGGTATTGGTTTTAACTAGGGGCAGCTGTAATATTTTATTTATAGCTGCGAATAACTGTTGAAATGAATCTTTGTATTACAAATATTTATTAATTGCGCAAGCTGCAAATATCTCGTTGAAAGTTATGTTACAAATGAACTAGCTAATCATCCATAATTGGATTGACCAGAATTTAGTGGCAGTTAAATGTAGCACTTTTATAACCTGTGTATCATGTCTTTTACAGCAATTCACGGTATGATGCATGAATTAGTTTTGGGTTGTTGATCATATTCTGTTTGCTGCAACTAGAGTTTCGTAAGTGGCAACTGAAAGTCGAGCAGTGGTAGTTCAGATTAAGACTAGGTTTTAGATTGCAGTGAATCCACCCTTGAGATGCATGAGTTAGTTTTGGTTTGGTGATCTCTTGCTTGAAGTTGTGTACATAACTGTCTATTTTAACTTTCTAAGTTAGTCTGGCAATCTGACGTGACAAATTACTGAGGCTAGTTCTGTGTAGTGGTCACATTGTCTATTGGTTTTTTAATTATTGTCTGCTGGATAATCGAGGGGTTTTTTTTTTTTTTTTTTTTCCTTTCCTCTCTTGAATTGCCTTCCTCAATTCTGTGAGAATGTCCTTGCTTAAGCTCATGTGAAGTCAGTGAATGGTTAATTTGGTCAGTGCGAGTTAGGAGGATCCGTATTTTGTTGAATTTATCCTCATATTTGGGGAATTTCCTGAATTATGTTTGTATGATGCCCCGTACTCCTTACTTAACCTTTAGATCCAAGTAAAGTGGAAAATGTGGATTTGAGCAAGAATTGATCTCAACGTAGAAAGCAACTAACTGATGAAATGCAATGGTGAAGCATAATGTGTTTGAATTGTCTTTCCTCTGTCTGCTTTGAAACTTGAAGGGTTTAGGATCAGTTCTATTAATAGAGTTTACGTTCCTATTTTTTTAGAGCACATTTCATGTTCTTTATTGTTTATTGGTGATCATTTTTCTCAACATCTTAATAGGGATCAGTATTTTCATTCTAGAAACTTCATCTACCCCTGGAATTTCTGTATAAATGCCAAAAATTGCCTTTAGCTACAGTCCAACATCTGTGAATTATGCTTATGAGAGATTCTTGCGCAGGTTTCGTACATGATTTTGCAGAGGGTATCTCCTGTAACGCATTCAGTTGGCAACTGCGTGAAGCGTGTTGTAGTGATTGTTACTTCTGTTTTATTCTTCCGGACTCCTGTTTCTCCTATTAATTCTTTGGGTATGATCTTCTTTCCCTTTCGCTTCATATTAAGATTTTGCAATAATATCTAGGGATCCTTCACCATCCTTTAGTGTGTGGAATGAAACTCTTATGAACCCTATTGATTCGATTTCTCCTTTGCTGGTCTGTATGTGTAATTGTAGGAACTGGGGTTGCTCTAGCTGGAGTATTCTTATACTCAAGGGTGAAGCGCATTAAGCCAAAGCCGAAGACAGCTTGAAGTTTGCATGTGGATTATTGGTGCTGGTAAATGTTGGCTGACAAGAAAGCAAAAAGGTTCCATTTCTTTAGATGTGTTAGCGAAAATTTGTCAGACTTCTATTGCTTGAGAAATCTGGTTAGCTTTATTCAGGGTTGCTAGGAATTTTTGTTTGTGGCATTCGATTTTATTATCAGTTTTTCAGGTATGCAAACCATTTTATGCAGATCTTTCTGCTCAATTCCTGTCACTTTCCCAACTATATTTTTATAGGACCAAAACCGTAGTTAGTGCATGATTCCAAATTATTTTAAACGTTGGCCTAAATGGAGTGCAAAAAGTGTAAGGATGCAATCAGCTTTAGACTTCCTAGGGAAATCCAGACAACTGTTTAATTGTATCTGGGTGGCCGTCAGTGGATTTATATTAGTCCAAATTTCTACTGTTCATGCAAAGAACAAAGGGGAAAGAAAGGTAAAATGACTAAGTTACGGACTTATGGAGTGAAGTTTCGAAGCATACAATTTGTTGGTAGAGGGGTTTGAATTCATCGTCTGTGTCGATCGGCACAAAGGTTGTTGGCCGCATGAACAAGTTTTTGAAGTTGATTGCTTTGATTTGCAACAATCAGAATACGGGAACCTATGATTTTTCTGAGTCAAATTGTCTGTGATTTTATTTCTTTTACTTGTGCTTGAAGAATTCGTTACCCGCTTTTGAAAATGAGTCAAAATGATGGTTTTGCTTGGATAATTATTTTCTGATGGGAGTAAATAATATATGCTCAAGTCCTTTTACATCAACAGCTCTTCCACTATAAAAGGAAAAAGGAAAGTTGGGAAGGAAAAAGAAAGAAAAACGAAAACAAAACGCCGAGATTTCATCTTGGTAGCTAGCTTGCTGCTTACAAGTTTCCATGAGTGATCATTTCCATCAAGTCAAGCTCCTTTTTCACTGCAAATTGTGTCATAAATGTGGGATGAATATGATCATAGGGGATCTCCTTAGGAATTGGAATGCCTTCATCTTCAAAGAAAGTGTCATCCAAAGCAAATTCTGGAACCTCACTGAAGTCATAATAATGTGACACTAATTGCTCATTGCATAATTCCATTTCCTCCTGATGATCATCTGTAGATGGTGGTGCATTCGTCGTCTTCGCGCCGCCGTCATTGAGAGTACTTGAGGGTGCATTCGTCTTGCCATTGTTCCTTCTCCTTCTGCTGTTGCTAGTTGTTGTGTTGCTTCCCTTGTCAAAGTTCAAACTCTTGATGTAGTTTTGCAAAAGGGTGCTTGGTTTTGGCCATTTTGTGCGGCATTTCCTTCTTGAAAATTGCCTCCTTTTTGTTGCATTCCAGTGGTTCTTGATTGAGTTCTCAGTTCTGCCAGGTAGTCTTTTTGCAATTTCTGCCCACTTGTTGCCTATTTCAGCATGTGCTTCGATTAGGATCCGATCCTCCTCCTCTGACCATAAATCTTTCTGAACATGATGAATATTATCCAGTCAAATTGCAGAGAAATTAATTCATGCAACTCATGATTTGTGTACTGATAACAAATACTTGGTCCGTTTTAAAATAAGTATGATTTGGTCTTATGAAGTTATACGCTACAAAAACGTCTTGCAATTTGGATACTATGCAATATTGAAATTCAACTAATTTATTCACACAAAACTTGCACTTAAATAGTTCAGTGAGAAATAATTTCAAAAGTAATACTCCCTCCGTTCCAAAATAAGTGTCATTTTAGCAAAATAGAAAAATTTCAAAATAAGTATCGTTCTCACATGTCAATGCACTTTTTGTCCAAAATTTCCAAAATTACCCCCAAAAGAATTAATACTATTGGCGAACATTTTTTAAATGGGGTTGGTTGAGGTTATTCAAGTAATTTTATTACCCTATTTAAAAATTTCTTAAACTATGTGCAAAGTGTAGGACGACACTTATTTTGGAATAGAGGGAGTAACAATCATCTTTACAAATTCATAACTAAATACACTAGTTATGGGATCGTGAACTTTATGTTTTGTGTTTTGCTTTTAAAAGATGATGGATATCTTCTAACATTTAATTAATTTCGTGGAACGTATAACTACGTTGTTTCAATTAATTTCATTCGAATATTTACGAATCAAAATTTTCTTTTATTATATGGTCTTCAGCTAGCTGCAAGTAATTCGATGAGGAAGAATAATTAATAACACATAAACACTCTCCTACCATCATTATTTAATGCAGTAGTTAATATGATATTAACACTCTTTTACTATTATTAATTAATCCATAAACCCTTACAAAAGGTTCTCTTAATGCGTTTTGATTTTTCTTTTTGATTTTTTGGAAAGTCCAAACAAGTTCTATTTAATTTTTCTCATGTTCTATGTGTTTTGATTTTTCTAACCAAGAACGATGGATGAAACTTTAGCAAGTGTAAATTGTAAAATGGTTATCTTCCACACCTAAATTAAAATCAAATGCTTGACTATATACATGCTTCTTCTTTTTTCACTGACATAGTAATTAATTTAAATATTGTTCCTTATTTGAGATACAATATTACAGTTTAACTAAATTTGTCCCCTTTTCCATGATACCCAAACTACAACATGCAAGCAAATTGTCATCATTGCAATCAAAATTGCATAATGTTAATTGCATTCTTTTAGGGAACTAAAACTTCATTAGATCACTGGAAGCAATCCAGCACCGATTAAGAAAAAGACTGGAGACTTATGAAGGGTTTCAGTTACGTGTAGCTTTTCAAGTTGTGGTAAGGCATGGACACAAAATTTCAAAATGACAAATCCAATCAAACTCAGGAATGGACAAATTCAGTTCTCCTCCGTCTTAGAAAAATATTTCACTTTAACCAACTAAAAAAGTATAATACAATAAAGGGAGATATTGATAATCTTATGATAACGTTGAAATATAGACACATAAAGTTTTGATTTTCCACAGTAGAAAGTTGCTCAAACAATTTCAGAAAGAACTGTTGAAGAAAACAAATTAACCTTTATATCAGGCCTTAAATGGTTGTGCCATCTTTCTCTACATTGTTTCCCAATCCTCCCTTTCAACATCTGAGCAATTTGAGACCATTTTCTCACCCCAAATTTCTCCACAAGGTGAACTAGCAACCTGCATTGGTTTTATTATGCACCTCAGCTCCGAAAAATTTAAATAAAAACAAATACACATATACATATTAACTAAGAAAATAAGAAAAGTATCACATAGTTTTTCCTTTTTTTTTCTTTATCTGGAGGATTTGAAATTGTGACCTGTCTTCTTCCATTGTCCATTGCCCTTTAGCTGATTTAGATTTCTTTCGACCTCGCCCGCCGGCCCTCCTTGTCGAAGAAAAAGAATTATTTTTGGACATTTTGTTATTTCGTCCACTGTCAGCGGTTATGCAAGAGCTTTGATCATCAGCTGAAGAAGAATTTAGACCCTTAATTTCGTGAAAGCGAGATGGGATGAGGTTCTTCGGCTCAGAAGAATTGCCATCCATTAATAATGAAGTACAACTTCCCTTGGTTTCTTTAATATCTAAAAAGTTACCATTTGTAGAAACCCTTTGATCAGAGTTCCTTTGAACATTATTCCCTTCAAATGGCTTGAAATCGAGGAAATCAAACCCGACCGACGAAGAAGATCCATTCGAAAAGGGATCAAAAGAATCATCAAAACCAGTGGTTTGGATTCCTAAGTCAGGATTGAATGATGTTCCAACAAGGGATAAGTGATCAAGGTGCTGAAATTCTTGAAGGAATCCATTTGCTTGATATGAGCTTGCCATGCAAAATTCTTCGTCGATTTCGGTTTTCATGAAATTGTTTAGCCCGGCAAAGGGTTGATGGCAAGTTTCATTGCCGTGGAACTCCATACACAGGGTAAAGAGATTGTGAACGGATGGGTTTTTGTTTTTTTTTTGGTTATCTCTTCTTAGCAATTTGTTCTTTTCACTCCCTTGTCTTAAGTTACTCTTAATTAGTTAATGAAGAATTGGTATTTATTGCAGCTTAATAAGTTTGTCATGAAAGTTTATAAAATGGATTAATTGAAATGGTTGGCATTGATTAGGATTTAACTTTCTATTAAAGTTTGAGGATTTGTTTGTTGAAATAGGATAACATTTTCTCCACTCACACACACACAGAGACACATGTTTTCTACTACAACATTGATAATGGTTAATTTGTTACACAAAAAGTATTACAATCTACTTTGAAATTAATGGAGAATTAGGGGTGTTTCTTAGAATTAGTTCATTTTGCTTAACTAGTTTCGTGTTTTTGCATAGGTAAGGACCTAAGTGCATAACTGCTGGAAAAGAGGGGCTTTAGGAACAAAAATTAGGCTGCTGAAATCAAATTTTGCTGAGCTGGTCAAAGATATCTCCAAGACACAATTTAATGAGTGTGTCTCATCCAAGGGCATGCTTGTCCCCTTGGTTAGACTCCCAACCGCCCATGATGATCAATGTTGCAGCTGATACTAGTGCTGGAGAAGGGCAAGAGACCAGTCAATTCTCAGATTCAAGACACAAAACATTGGGAGGAATAAATAATTAACAAGCATGGAGAGGCTATCTTGGAAGAAGAACTGGCTTCAAAACTCTATAAAAGTAGCTGCATTCCCAGCATGAAGGAGGATCTGAGTGGACATACAACACACAAAACACCCCAGAGAGAGAAGAAGAGAGCGGAGAGGGGAGAAAACTCCAAAGGAAGAAGAAGTCCAGTAGCAGAAAAAGAGAAGTAACAGACCTCACTCGCCTGAGTGACCTGTTGCTCAGCCATCCAGATTTGCTTCTTCTCCATGTTTTCCTTCTTTTCTTGTATTTTCTGTAGTTTGTATGTGTAGTTAATTAGATTTCATTCTCTGGAAACCTATATAGTTTAAGTTTGTGATTGCATTCGGATGATTTTGTGTTTTGAAGTTAAAGCTTTCATCTATCTCTTGATTAAATTGGCCATTTGATTGATTGTGCTTAGAACTAAGTGAATCCCGGAAGGGTAAACAAGGTTCAGAATCGTTTAGCTTCAACTTATGACTTGGAGGTAACAATCCAAGGTTCTAATTGAGATAGGAATATACTTGGTTAGCATAAGCATTCATATAAGGCTTGAAAACTTCATGACTTTATGACTTGATTAATCATTGGAAAATAGTTTAATTGAGTTGATAAAGATACCTCTAGGAAAAATTGAAAGTGACTTAGAGATATATAAATGCCTGAATGAGCATGAATTCATACCAAAAGAGTGCAAGATTACAACTTGATTACATAGGGAAAAGAGAATGAATATCCAGTTTGTTGAGTCAGTCCCTTGAGTCGGAATTCTCACTCCCGTGAGTATGGTTTCGTTTGTCTTTGTTTGTTTTCAGTTCTGCAGAGCCACTTGTGTGAGTGACTTTACCACTCGTGCAAGTGAGTGACACTCTGCAACTATTGTGTTCTTGTTTGTCTTCCGGTTATTTGAAGTTTAACTCGTCCCTGTGGGATCGACCCGACTTATCCTATCTACAGTTTAAGTTGGTAATTTATTTTGGGGGCTTTGACAAACCACCAAAAGTGGCGCCGTTGCCGGGGACGGGAAAAACTTCTTTTAACCATTTGTTTGTTTTTGTTTTTTTTCCTTTTGTTTTCTGATTTGAGAAGAGTGTGCCAACTCTGAAATTTAATGGCAGATCATCCTTCATATATAGGAAATTCTTATTATTGGAATAATTACCGACAAATTTCACCTAGTTATAGTTTTAATCCCCCTTGTGCTTTTAACGGTTTTGATTCTTATGAGCAGGATTATTACTACTCTGATCCACCAATGTCCCCGTGCTATGAAGGTGAGCTCAACTGGGAGCTGAGTCAAACAGAGTGGGACAAATTTCAGGAAACTTTAAAGGAGTTGGAGCAAAGAGTTGAACAAATACAACAAGGGCTCCAAAAGTTGAATGAAATCTCAGAAAGGAAAGAAGAGCAATTTTCTCATCAGAATTTAGTTCTACTAGTGGAGGTGAAGGAGGTAAAGGAAGAACCAAAGGTGGAGATGCAACCACCACCATATCAGAAACCACCTCCTTATGTTCCACCTCTGCCATTCCCACTCAGGGGAGTGACAAAACACACTTCCTCAAGTGGCGTTAAAAACTCTGCCAAGCAGAAAGTTGTGCATCAAGATTTTAGTAGCCCACTTGATGAGGAGTTGTGTTTAGAGGGACTGTTTGCTGAAGGTGAGCCGTGTTCAAGATTTCATGAGACTCTTTCTCCAGAAAGAGAGATAATTGACTCGAAGGATACAACTTTGTTTACGACTGAAGAAGAGTCAATTATCTCCCTTGATGAGAGTCATGTGGGCAGAGGTAAGGGTGAATTCACTTGGGGTGTGCAAATAGAGTATATTGATTTCGATCAATGTCAAACCAAGAAGGACCCCGAGATGTTGGAAGAGTGGAGCAAGAAAGATTTTCCTCTATGTTGGATGATTCAAAAGTATGCTTCCTGGAGGCATGATAGGCTAATTGATGGCACATTCTTGTGGTATCAAGATGGCTATTTTGAGTGACTTGAAGCCACAAGAGTTGATTATGGAATGCATCTTGCATTTTAACATTTTGGCTTGCTTCATGGGAGGCAACCCATGTTCTTTTCCTTTTAGTTCATTTTTGAGTGATTTTAATTTTTTCTTGTTTAATGTGTGTGCTTCCATGTGCAGAAGAAGTATCAATGCCATCCCAATTCAATGGGTGATCCAAAAATGCAGTAGATCCTGATATCAACCACTTAGGAGAGTGAGTTTAGTCACTCTCCCAAGTGTGCCTGCAACAAACTGAGTTGCTGTGACTGGTTTGCTCTTGATTTCTTTTAGTCTTCATAGGATCTGTGCTTTGTTTTAAGTTTGGGGGGATTGATGTCTATTCAAGCATGATTATTGTTAGTTTATTCTGTTTCTAAACTAAACATGGGAATTTTGAAAACTGAAATTGTTGACTTTAAAATTTTGTGTGTTTATTGCTGAAATTTCTAAGACACTCTGGGAAGTGACTCATGTCACTCGGCAAAGTGACTCTGAACCTACTTGATGTTTGAAGTCAATTTATTTCTTTTACACACCCATATTTTGTTGTTTTACCTTCATGATTTCTTTCTTCTAGGTTCTTGAGACATCTTCTGTATGTCATAGCCCTTAGTAGCTTGTTAATTGTAAAATTTGGTGTGCTTAATGTGTACTTGCTAGACTTTAGTCTGGAATTAACTTCTAATATCTTATGAGCATTAATGCCATATCTAGCAAGCTTAGGGAGAATTTTCAGGATTAGCATGCCCGATTGCATATGAGTCACCTAGTTCTTTCTGAGCATTATTGTTAAAAAGCTAAATCTATTTATGGAATTATGGTGTTTCTGGTTTGTTGCTTTCTATGGTCTTTGTGCTTAACTGTATGAACCAAGGAACTTCATGAGCTTAATTTTTGATATCTTTAGTCTGTGTTTCAATTCTAATCCTTGGTATTTGAGAAAACTAAATTTGCAGCTAAAGAAGGACTGTAGAGTCACTCCCACGAGTGACCAAAGTCATTCCAACGAGTGACACTGCAGAAAAATAAAAATTCTGAACTCTTATAGCTGCTGAATCTTTTTTGTGTCCTGATGTTGCAATTCCAGGCTGTTGTACAAGGATGTCGCGATCCCTTGTATGGAGTATATTTCGACACAACATAGAGCTTGTAACAAATCGAACAGATATGTTGAATGATGTGCATCATGAAGCCCTCTTCATCCGTTTAGTTGCTCCAACTCAGGGAAGTCATCAGTCCTCTACCTCACTCACAGGAATGAGAATATCACTTCTGTGAGTGACCACACAGATTTTGTTGTGAATTGTTTTTGTTTCTGTGAACTATTTTTGTTGTTATTTTTGTTTTTGTCTGATCTGTTTGTCAGCATTGGAGACAATGCTTTAAATAAGTAGGGAGCATGTTTATAATTTCTTTTTTTTTTTTTGATTTTTTGTGAATGCTAGTTCTATGATAATTGGATATCTATGAAAACCAATGTACTTAATTTCTTATATCTAATTCAAATTTTGATTTTACCTAACTCTTGGTTATCATCTCTACACTACTTAAGCACACATGCCTTTTATGCTTAGTTACATTGAAGTTGAGTTTTATAGCATGCTCTGTGGTGTTCTAAATTGGTTAAAAATATTTAAATGACTTTTCTTACGACCACTAGAATGCGAAGTGTGGTTTGTTTACATGCTAAAGAGTTGACTAAGGCAAGCTTAATGACCCTCTCTAATACCTTCTTTGGAAATTGATAGGCGGAATGCTCAAAAATGAGTAAATAAAAAAGTTCAAAAAAACTTGAGGGAGTATAAGGTAGAGCATCAATGCTAAATCTCTTAGAGTGAAGTGGCAACAATGAGTGATCCTTTGGCCTGGAAAGCAAAGTCTCCTATCGAAAGCTCTCGGTAGGAGGGGTCGGAAGTTGGAAAGAAAAAGAGTCATGAGTCATAAATAGAAAAAGCCAAAAAGACTCGGAGGTAAATAAAAGGGAATGAGGGAGAATGGTTGAAAAGAAATGAATTGTGAGAGTCCTTATATCTCTGAGGCTGTATTGGCCACATTAGCATGATTGTGGTAAGAAAGAATGAGTCATAAGGCTAAGAAATATATAAATATGCACCATGAGCTGTTATTTACCTTATACTAATTTGTTATTTTGCATACTTGGCGTGATTTACACACACATGGAGGTGATTTCGTAAAGACTAGGTGAAATTCGAATTTGGATGAAGATATACTTTTTTTTCTTGCGTCT